TTGAAGGCAGGTGAAGTCCATGATATGCTGGGCGAATGCATAGGTCTTCCGGCTGATCGAGCGTAGTGCGACAGTTCTGGCGCCATCCAGGCCTTCCATCGACCCTTGCCCCGTCAATGCTGGGTGAGTTGTTAAGTTGGGCGCTGAGTTGCTGCTGGCTGACGACGTCCTCGGTCTGGACGTGCCGTAGGTTCCGAGTATTCCGCAGGGGCTGGCACACCTGGCGCAGTGGGCGAACGATCCTCGGGGTCAGGTCAGACGGTTAGTTCGGTGCTGGGCATGTGACTTGACCCGTCAAAAGTCAGGCGGGCCTGTTGATGTCCTGGCGGTAAATTCAGGCCCGAGGATGACAAAAGCTCCAATAGTGAAAAAGGCACAGCGCGAATTGTCTGGGTGTCAAGGACCCGAACAGCGTGTAGCGTTTTCCACCCGCCAAATTTGTTAAATACTCAGGACGTGCACCAGAAGCGTAGTCAAGCACCCCCCTTTCCCATGTGGACTCACTTGGCCAAACTTTAACAACATGTAGACCTGCTGAGCTGACGCATAATAAGGCTGGGTGGGAGCTGAAGACACATTGTGCCATTGTTGCCCTGTCAAACACACAGGGCTCACTAGCATTCGGAGTCCCCATCAGTGTCCCTGTTCAGCAAATGTTGCATGTCTCCTGGCGAACTCGGGGTCCCTTGTCGGCACAGGACCCCCCCCCCCCCCCCCATTAGTCACTGTAATCCCCTGACAGACGTTCTCATTGTTTCAGGGACCCCGACCAATGCAAATCCTGGGCCCGGCCTCGTCTCAGGAAACAGACCACCAGGATTCCGAACGATTCGGAGCCGGCTGTTTGGTGTTGGTGGTCTCTGGCCGACATAAACGTTTGCGTTGTCTCTGTGGTCTCAGCCCGTTGTCTCTTGCGTTGTTTGGGTAGGCCCCGGGACCCTCTCCGGGCCTCATCGAATACTTTCATCAGTGAACTCGGGGCCCCTTGCCAGCACAGGACCCCCCCCCCCCCCCCGTTAGGCACTGCGGGTCCCTGTCATATGAATTGTGGGCAAAAACTACCTTGAAGTGCTGCGATCAGTCACGGCAGTTCACTAATTCGCCGCCAAACCTCAATGGAAAAAATTGAAGTATAACAATAACAAAATGAACGGGAGTTGAAACTTATAAATTGAAGCGTGGGATTACCTGAGTTGATTTCTTACAGAGTATCCACCTTAAAATATATCTTTTGAAATTTTGTGACAACCGGGTGATACAGAAACAGTGGAATCTAAAGTGGCAGCAATCGAACAGTTGGTACTATCCAAGCGAGTTAGATTATGATTGACATTCACATGCGATTGATAATATCAGGAGGTGTTCGGTTGCGTTGCATAGGGGTAGTCATGGGAACAAAGCCGTCTTCATCTTCGGCTTCGTCAAGCCGCAGTTTTCACCACTGGCTTTGGGCTCTGCTTCGGTTTGTGACATTATTTAGGACTGGCATCGGCCTTGTGTCATTTAGAAAATCTGGCTTCTCCTTCCGCTTCGAACAATACTTGAAATTGGGATCAGACGTAAAACCAGACCTCTTCCCTCCCCCAAAAAACCCTCCCCGCTCCCGGCCTGCGTTCCTGCTGGTTTCGGCCTCATGCGATCTTGAACTGATGTCTTCGGTTTCGTCATGGTGACTTTTTCCATGAAGTTACGACTTCAATTCACTAAAACATACATGCCCATCATGTCATCTTAATATACATACCAATAGGGTTTTGGCGCTGTGGCACACACGTGTCTGAAAGCTCAACACCAGCCTGCTATTTTCGGGATCAGCTGACACCTGATGATGGCCGGAGGACAAACTGTCCAGAACATGGTGTGCACATTAGCACGCAAGACGAGGACAACAGTCCAAACAACCTTTCCATCCGTAATGTCCACGCCTCGTCTCAACCACTCTGTAAAGCCGTGATGAAATTTTTAAGCGCGCGCGAGAAGGGCTTTAGTTTCACAACACAACATTGCTTATCAAATTCTGCTTCGACTTCGGCCTCGTCACTCTAAACTGATGGGGTGGTCTGGCTTCATGTTTCCTGAGCTTAAGGCTGCTGACTTGGCTTCTGTTCAGAGTTTAAAATCACTGCATCAGCATCGGCTTCATGCGTTAAGCACGAAGACGTTGAATAAATGGTCATTCATCCAATTCATAGATGGACTATTTCTCTCCGTATTTCGTTCCGTCTACGTCGTTACCAAAATTGACTAAATAAAAAACGTCTGGGCATCCCGTGCCGAGGAATTGAAAGCTGTTTCTTTCGAATAATGTTATTACAATTTGGAAGAGTTTGATGTTTTCGGGGTCACGCACTGTAATGATATCAAGAGGCCGCTATCATGTAGACGACTTATTCAGCTTTGATAACATCGCCAATTCATGCATTTACGCTAGCTGATGGACCTTCTAGGTCAGATGACATGTTCAATTTTGTATATTTTCCGAAATGACGTCCTCATAAGTGTGCAAGGAAAAGCGGCGATACAGGTGCTTGGTTGCCTTATCGCTAATCTACTTGATAGCTGTGCGACTTTTAGTGCCCATAGTTAGTAAGAAAAATGTTCTTATAAGGTCAGGTATGTAGGTCAGGCCACGATAGGTCACGTGGTGTTTGCGATGAACCCTAACCTCAGCTCTAATCCCTTCCCTACCCTAAACCCTTCAGACGCTCTAATCGGCATCCAACGTCCTTCCTTTTAGCGTTTACGGAAGCCCCGGTCAGATCTGATCATTGGCGCCGGGCTCGCTACAGATTTTAGCACACCAGGGCCGTTTGCATCTACGCTGTAAACACGCCGGCGCCGTTTGCACATACGCTGTAGTTTTTAATATAATTTTTTCCAAGACGCTTTTGCATTGTCCAGGGTGAAGGGCGCGGCGTGGACGTGTGACCCCCAACCACGTGGCCGGCGCCGGCGCCGGCGCGCGCCGCGGTTCCCGCCATTCACTTCCGCTGTGCTGATTCGCCGAACGCGGCGCGCGTCACCGCATTCCGCGCCGGCGCGCGGCGTAGTAGCCTTGACCCTGTGGGCTGACTCAGCTGGCGCGGAGTCAGCTGGCGGCCGTTGACCGGGGCTGGCTCGGTTTGGCGCGCGCTCTCACTCTCGCCGGCGCTGCGGCGGCGGGACGCGCCACCCCCGGGGCGGGGCTGTGCCTGGCTGGGGCAGCTCGCCCGCCCCCGGTGGCCAGTGACCTAACAGCTCGCGCGAGCTCACTGGCCGGGTCCAACGCTCGGCTTCAGGTCGCAGCTGCAAAGTGGGCGTCGAACGTCCGACGCGGGCATGGCATGACGTGGTGGGCACCCTAATCAAGCTGTCTTGGTGAGTGCCGCCAGCAGACGGCTACTGAGAAACACCTGAGCGCATGTTTCCGAGTTCCAAGCCGGGTAGTGATTCTCCACTGTTCCTGCGAAACATCGGCAAGTTTCTTGCCCGCACCAGAAATAACCTTGCCCATCCATTTTTTGTCACATTATTTGAACTGATGCTTAATTTATCTTCAAAATTATGAAGTGATATAAAAGTGTTTTGCTTTTGTATTACCTTGCCATCGAAGGAACACCTTCCTTCCCTAAACCAGGGCCTGGTGTATTCATAATCGAGCGTGACGCTCCAAACCCCGTGCCTGCACGTGACGTGTCACAGGCCATCTGTCACTGGCAAAAGCCAGTTTATGCGGTGGTTACATAACCTGGTGTTACCTCCCAAAGTCCTGTTCCATATTAAGACAGCGGCAAAGTGGGTTGGACAATTGCTGCTCATTTCTACGTAGTGCCGCGTTTTTTTGTGGCGATTTTGATGCCGACTGAAGTTCATGAATCGCTTCTGACTTCGACCAACCGAAAAAAACACAGTTGACTATGTAGAGAATTACGTCACACACTCGTGATCGTTTTGGTGTGATTCCTTTCGCTAGGAGATCACGAATGACGACCGTCTTGGAGTAAAAGTCTCTCCTGAAGAATTTTGCAAAATGCTGGCCCAACGATAAATGCTGCCACCAGGTGCTACTCACCCCACAGCGGCTACTTAGTCCATAACGTTGTGGCCAAATAAAATGATGGTTTCTGACCTTACGGCCACACAAAAAGCCGAGCATAGAAGTGACAATATTTCCGATGGGAGTCAATTATCAGGGGAAAATATACTGTTATTGTTGTATATTGAAAATATACTGAATATTTATATATATATATATATATATATAAAGATATGTTAGAAAACTGTATTGGTGCAATCATCGGCGTTAATGGTAAAAGCGCGACTGATGATAAAGGAACGTCCATGACCACTTGCTGTGATGATAAAGGAACGTCCATGACCACTTACTGTGATGATAAAGGAACGTCCATGACCACTTACTGTGATGATAAAGGAACGTCCATGACCACTTACTGTGATGATAAAGGAACGTCCATGACCACTTACTGTGATAATAAAGGAACGTCCATGACCACTTACTGTGATGATAAAGGAACGTCCATGACCACTTACTGTGCGTCTTGACATGGACACACTGCAACTGTTGTTCACTGACACGCGTTGTGGTAATTCTAGCTAAGCTCAGGACTGGGCGCAGTTTGCAAATTCAAGCCGTCTGCTTCCTTTCATCGTGCTTCAACACTTCACCCGTCTTTGACTTGACATCGGGTACCCAACCAGTTGCGAAAATAAACGCGCGGTCTAGCTGCTTCACAGAGTCTCTTCAGACATGCCGCCCGGGGCAGCGAGCGGGGTGAGGATCGCCTCGGCCCTGAGAAGCGAGCCTCAGTGCTCGGTAAGACAGTGGGCTGTTGGGGGCGCGGCGGCCGTTGCTGTCTCGCCGACCGCTCCCCCGCCGCCGTCGGCCGCGCGGCCGGCAGCTCTGGTTGGTCCGACGGGGGTTCACTCCAGGGTCGCCGCGCGCCGGCCCACCGCCATATAAGCGGCTGCGGCGGCTGCCGGCTCCAGTGTGGTCCGCAGACCCTCGCCGCCCCGTCGCCGCCCGTGGCAAATTCGGTCCGATTTGTCGCTCCGCTTTGCCGTCTCCTTCCGCCGCCGGTCTCGGCCGTCTCGACGGTCTCTGCAAAAAGTCGCTGTTCAGGGTCGGAAGTCGTTGTCATCGAGTGACTGGCGACGGTCGCAGCGCCGACGCGGACTCATGTCGGGCGCCAGCAAGGCCGCGCCGCCGCCGTCCTTCAGCCATCTGCCGCCGCCAGCCGGTCAGCGCGGCCCCCGCGCGTCTGGTGACCTGACCTCGGAGTGGCTGGCGGCGATTCTGCGCGCGTGTCACGGCGCCGGCTACTGCCTGCGGGGTCACGAGGGTTACGCGCTGCCGGCCGGCTCCATCGCCGTCTGCAGCCAGCTGCGCGGCTTCACCGCCCGCGGCCACGTCCGAGGTCAGGAGGTCATCGACCACGTGGTGGTCAAGCTGCTGCCCGAAGACCCGCAGATGCGCCGGCTCGTGGTCAACCACCGCATGTTCCAGTGCGAGACCATGGTGAGTGGGGTACGAGGGGCACTGTGGGCTGGTGCCTGGGTAGCAGAGCGGTTGTGGGACGCCTCCGGGTGGAGTCATGTGTGTGGGCCCAACGGAAGTGGTGCAGCGAATGCTTCGCGCTCCGCATCACGCTGTCTAAGATAGGTGAAATCACGGCTGTCCCGGGCTCAGTAGGTCCGGCTATTGTGCTATAATGGCCGCCATGTCACTACCCCTGTCAATGGCTGTCTTGACGCAGCTCCAGAGCTGAACGAGGGCTCAGACAGGGGGCCCGCGTAGAGGAGCCCCTGTTTAGAGCGGCCTCTGGGACCCCGCGCAGACAGACATAGACTCGCAGAGGCTTTAGACTCCAGAATTCGCGATGGGCCGGGCTGAGCCGAGCAGGAAGCCAGGTGGGCAGAGCATGCGGCGTGCGCCGATCGTTTTCCAACTGTCGAAATGTAGCGAACTGGCGAGGTCCGCGTTCAAATGGCCATGTTCATGTATTTCCTCAACGACATGCTTATCTAGAGTGGCCTATACCAACATCGCTCCGGTAAGATTTGTGTTCGATTCAAATCCACATGGATGAAATTGATGTTGAACCGAAATAATTGAGAGTCCTAATCAAGATTCAAATAAGCCTTACTTTTCAAATGAGGATTCGAATCAACCGTTGATTCAAGCAAATTGGCTTAGTCAAATTTTGATCAAAGAAATTTTCGAACAAATTTTCGAACAAAAAATGCCTCGAATCACCATATTTGAATCAGACTGAACGAGTTTCAAAACAATATCATATGTTAATGCCGTCAGGATTTCAGACACTGGTGATATTCAATGGCTCATCTGTTAAATCTTTAAAGCGCATTTATATTACCCCGCATCACAGTGCATTAAAGTACAGCATTTTGGGTTCCTTTCATGTATGTGAAGCAATATGCATTTCCTCTCGAACACTAAGCCTTCGTCCTCGAGCTCGCCTTCGTGAACTCAAAATTTAAATCATGCTTATATTTCAGTAAAGCATGAACATCCGTCAGATCTCTCACTTCTTTCTTTTCTTCAAATTCCTTACACGCGCATAAGACATCTTGATATACATTTGCATTTATGCTTTTGGTTTATGGCGTGTTGGCACTAAATCCAGCTCGGTTTCCACTCATCGCTGCGAGAAAAATACAGTCATTCATGCTATCATTCGCGGCGCATCGTCCGGCAGGACCATTCTGCCGTCCAAAGGTAAAACCTCATATGCTAGTTTTTGGCCGTCTTGCGTTTTTTTACGTCGTCTGATTTGTCTATTCATGCTGAACTCGGCTTTCAAATTCAACAGTTGGAGTTTTCACAAACTTTCAGCCCTTTCTTGTAGCTGAAAGTTTTTGCAGGCTTCAGCCGTTGGCTTAAACATCTGAATTCAGCATGGGAAAACGAATCAGATGACATAAAAACGCTAAATGGCAAAAAATAAACACATGGGGTTTACCTTTAGACGGCAGCATTAAGGACCGCGATCTCACAAATCAACCGGATTGGCAAAAGAACAGCGCTTTGGAATGTGTATCATTGACACTCTCTAACGTTGGATACTAGGGGCGCGGCAGGGTTTTCTTAAGGGAGGGCCCAGAGCTCGGTGAGCACGCAGCACGCCGATGTATGACCTCGCGTCGAAAACTCTCTGGTGAGAGACGACATTCCGGGCCTTAAGCGGGCCCCTTCTCGGATCCCTTCCTTGGCTACGCCCGTATTATATACTATTCGTTGGTTGCAGTTGTTTGACTTGGAAGATGCCGGGCTCTCAATCCAGTGGTGAGTGGCGGGAGAGGCAGGACGTTTGAGTTGCAGAACATGACATGGAAGCTTTAGCCGGAACTTTCCAAAGACTCGGCTTGGCCCGGGTAGCCGTGTTTTAGCATTGGGTGTCACGAAAAATTCTGCCGCTAGCCTGCCTACAGCGCTGTGGGCACCATCGTCCGATGAACTGGCATCTTAAAACTTCGCTGATGAGTTACAGGTTCAGGCAACGTTTTCTGACATGCTGCTCCGAGCGTGCTGCTCTGGGCGCAGAAGGCCAGTGCATGGTCTAAATCTGAATACATGTTTAAGACTTCTACAAACAACACAGTTAGTGCCGTTTTAGGACAAGGCATGCGGATCACGGAAGTTCTCAGTCAGGACAACTGCCATTTTTGTGTTGGAGCGAGAAGAGCTTTGTTCGAGTGATCAGATTGCCGAATGTAGCGTTAGGGGCTCACGTGCCACCTAAGTCCCTTGCCCTTCCCGGCGCAACTTGTCACCCGCGTGGTGCCGCGCGCCCGGCGTAGGGCCTCGAGGGGTTCCGCGAACAGACGTGGCTGACTGGATGCTGGTTAAGCCGCTCTCCGGTTGGCGACGTCGCCTCGGCCCGTGCCGTCTCTGGGACAGGTCGGCCCCTACCCTGATTTCTCCACGGCTCAGACGGGCGATTGATTCTCTCGGTAAATGCCCCCCCCCCCCCCCCCCCCACACACACATGCCTGTGGAGCAGCCCAGTCCGGATGAGCTTGCAGTGGTGGCGGTAGCCCCACGAGGACGTTAGGGCGTCGGCTCCGTAGTGCCTTCGCCAGGGTCAAGGGACATAATGCTGAACCTAACTGACCCGAAGGCTGGACTTCCCAGCGGAGAGACCCCTCCCCTCAGTCGTCCCTCTTCCCTCTTGATCCCTCTCCTCAGTCGTCCCACCGTGCGGCGACTCCTAACCCATTCGCTCGTCAGGTGGAGCCCCGACTGCTAACCCCGCTCTCTGGCAGCCCCCCCCCCCCCTCCCCCTTCTCCCATCGGCACACAGCGTGGCGGCCGCTAATCTCGGCCGACGTGTCACGTGGTGTGCCGGCTACTGACCCCCGGACGTCGTGCTCACGCCCGCCTCTGCCCGGCTCTGCGGCTACAGGGTGAACCGGTCTCGGCCGCCGGCGCGGCGAGGCCAGGGTCAAGGACGCTGCGGAGGTGTAGCTGGCCCCTCGTCGCCCGCCAACTTTCGCTCTCTGTCTGTCGCCCGGCTGGCTGTGGCAGACTGGCGGTACTCGCTGGCTGCTGACAGCCATCGGCACCCAGAGAGATAATTTTGCTTAGCTGAATGAAAAAACCCAACTGCCTGCCATCGGTGGGCGGCCAAAGATCATTCTTGTAGAAAACGTCAGTTATTTTATTTTCGGAATGGTTTCTAAGACGAAAATCGTGGCAGTCTCCGCTGAGAAATAGACTATAAGACAGCTTTGCTTAAATGGGCCGTGACTCGTCGCATAGGTGAACATGGATATGCAAGATAGATGAAGATGATAAATGAACAGTAATATGCATGATGTGGAGTTTCTATGATCAACAGTACGCTAGATGAGCAAGGTCATCGTCCGAGTTTCTGCATGAATTTTGGGTATTACGTGGCATGAGTACATATTTATTTTAGAGCAGGACTACCTGAAGGGATATCAACCATTGAATGATGATTGCAAATGTCCATTTTGCTTCTTTCGTTCTGTTCACATCGTTTGCGTCGGCTTAATGTAGCAGCCCGACTCAAACACATCAAACGAAAGAGCTTCTTGTAAAACATCATCGCTTCTTGCAGACTTTGTTTTGTTGTGTGGCATCACAACTTTCCCTCCAGTGCGTTTCTTCGGGCCTCGCCCCTTCGTTCTCTAGCCAGGCTCCTGTACAGAGGTTGCCCTCTCCATGCTCGTCCGACATCTGGAGCAGCGGAATTTCCCTCTGTTCAGGGGAAATTTTAGCCACTTGCACGGACAGCAAAAAAAAACTTTGTCTGAGGGTGGGCCGCTACACACAGCGCTTCTGAAGACGCACGCTTGCAGGGAAGAGTTCCTCTGAGCACGCGTGGTCGGCCCGAGGTGTCCTCCGAAGCCGCATGGATGCCGGGGTGTCCTCCGAGGGTGCGCGGATGCCGTGGTGTCCTCCGAGAGCCCCCGGCGGCGTTAAGGGCTCCTCCAAGGACACGCGGTCGCGGACCTCCTTCCGGAGACACGCAGCTGCACCAGTGACATGGCTGGAATGTGATTACCAGGAGCTTACCTTGCTCAAGAGGGCTCTGACCCAGACAAGTAGCAGGCCCGGCCGAGCCCGCTAAGCCTAGGCACCAATCCGCTCTCTGCCGCCTGCCTGATGGGGTGCTGAGAGCGGGGTTCGCACGGACAGCTCAGCTGGCGGGCTACGGAGCTCGGAATCCCCTGAGCTCTGAAGCGCTTGCGCTGGCCGGTGAGCCGGCGGGCGGGAAGCCCATTAACGCGGCCATCCGCGGAACTTCGCGGTGACGTCACTTCATGTGACGTCAGAGGTCGTCGCCCCGGCAAACCGCCGTTCGGACGTCGGAGAAGGATCGTGAGAGGGAGGGCGTGACAGAGGAGCGGTGTGCAGGGACGGGGGCTGGGGCGGCAGAAGTTACGAGCTGCTGGCGCCGGTAGCGCAGGTGGGTGTTGTCATGCCACCATGACGTCACACGCGTCTTCCCGGACGTTCCGCCGTTGTCGAGACCCAATACGTTCGTTGTCGACGCCGGCACCGAAACTCTGGTATCGGCCGGCAGTTTTATTTTTCGGATGCTTCCCAAGTGTCCCAGGCGGTCCTGCAACGGAAAGGAATGATTTGTGTGTGAATAATTTGTGTAACCAGGCCCGATGTGATGGCGCGAATGACTAAGATAAACCTTGCGGGGGAAGGCGATCGTTAGGATAAACTCTGTTTATGAGAGAGTCGTGTGGAGCTGACCTTTGAAGAGAGAAATACCAACACTAAATTACCGCTTCAACCAAATCCCTTGTTCATGTGTCAAATACCTGTTAAAGAGTTCTTAGCACCGCTCGGAACCCGGACTGGCGACTTATAATACTACGTCTCAGCTCCTGGACCATTTTATCAACTTCATCTAATGCGCTGAAATGGCTCGCTCCGCTTCTGCAAGACCGCGGAAAGCAGAGCAATGGCGGTTCAAAGCTCAGGTGGCACTGAACCCAGGGATGATCAGCCGATTTTCAGAGAAACCTAGGGTTATTAACCAATTATTAACCAACCGCTTATGAGCTCTAGGCTCTTCTGTCCGGAAAAGGGCAGCGCACGTTTTGAGCATAACACATTGAGCCAAAGAAGTAATCAGTTGCTCATGATGCCGCAGACAACGATCTGATAGTGGCATACTTATATTGATTATCATCCTGCCTAGCTTAGTTAGCCTCTAACCTACTCCCGATTCCACTGTAGTGCCGGCAAGGAGTTTCCAGCGACTGACCTGACGTGACCTGACCCGGCCTGGCCTGACCTGACCTGACCTGACCTGACCTTATCTGACCCGACCCGACTCTATCTGCTCTGCTGCAGGTGTATCTGAACATCCTGCCGACTCTACTGCAGCCGGCTATGGGTCAGTTGACCTTACCTGACCTGACCTGATCTGAACTGGGCCGATCTGACGCGCTCTCCTGCGCCGCAGGTGTACCGGGACCTGCTGCCGAAGCTGTGCAGGTTCGAGGCCGCCCACGGCTCGAGGCATGTGCGGGAGCTGACGGTGCCCTGCCTGTACGCGGGCCTGCTGCAGGCGCCCGACTACGCTATCGTGCTGGAGAACGTGCAGAAGCGCGGCTTCAGGGTAAGTGACTGACACTGACACTGACACCGCAGCAACACACCGCCCGCGGCAGGAGGCGATTGTTGGCCAGTGAACTTGCGAGCTAAACTGTGTACAATGTAGGCGGAACGGGAGAGAAACCCTGTCCAGTAGCTAAGTGGGAACAATGACAAAACTGCTTAGGCATGTTAACAGAACAGCGTTCGTGCGATCGGACCATATGTTCACGATCCCATGTCGCTACTTGAATGTTCACGATGATATATCGCTACCTGTCGTATAAAGACTGTCAACAGCCTTCATACGGCAAAGCGTATTCACCCACGACGGGCAATGCAGCAGCCTGCTGGGCGTGACTCTGTGACCGAAAGCTCTCAGCTCACCCGTCGCGCTCTCTCCCTCTCTGTTTAGACGATCAAGTCGCTGCAACTGCGAAAGCCGCAGCTGAACGCGGCAGTGCGAAGCCTGGCGCAGCTGGCCGCTACCTCTCACGTCTGGCTGCAGGAGACGGTAAGGCCCACGGTCAGGTCATGGCCTGTTACGCCCGACCCCGGCCGCGGTGCAAATACCGGTTGACAGCCGAGTCGGCGCTAACGCCGGTTGACAGCCGAGTCGGTGGTAAGGCCGGTTGACAGCCGAGTCGGTGTTGACGCCGGTTGACAGCCGAGTCAGTGCTGGCGCCCGGTTGACAGCCGAGTCAGTGCTAGCGCCGGTTGACAGCCGAGTGGACGTCAGCGAAGAGGAACCATGTTGCTTGTTCTAGCGCATAGCGGTAGCCCTCTGTTTTCCTCAGCGCTTGGCGGTAGCCCTCTGTTATTTGTTCTAGCGCATGGCGATAGCTCTTCATTGTTTGTCCTATCGGATGGCGGTAACCCCCTTATTATTGCTTTTGTTGTGACGCCTGCTAATAAACTTTTGACTCATACTGCGTAGGCATCCAGTTATCCTCCCTCTTGTAAGTGTGTGCCATTGGGGCTTTGCAACGGACTCAGCTGCTACGGCTGTTTGACGTCGTTTGCCTCTCATCTTGCCTGAGGGGCGGGTACCGCGGGAAATCAAACCCCGAAACTCTGGTTTCCCAGACGTGTAGTTTAACCACTACACTATCGGTGCCCCTAAACCCGTCTTCCTGTCGCTTGCAGCAATTGTTGGGCGATTCATTGTCGGAAAGAATTGCTCTGACCACTAACCTCTCCACTCCGGTGCAAACAACCTTCAAGTTAAGTTCCTACGACAGGAATAGAACCTGAACTTACCGATCTACCCGGCCACCTGCGAGTGTTGTCCGGCGACCGTTGACGCTAGCCTTCTCTCTTCCAGTGCACCGAGGACTTGCCGTACCTGCAGGACAACACCATCACGGACGGCCCACAGCTGGCTGACTTCATCAGGATGGGCCTGGAGCGTCTGTCGGCGCCGCTGGAGCTCGGCAGCCACCTCCGCCTGCGCCGGAGGCTGCTGCAGCTGCAGCTGTCCAGCGTGCGCCTGCTGGACGCCTTCCTGCAGCGGCCGCCCGCCTTCCGCGTGCTCTGCCATGGCGACTTCCGCGACGGCAACCTGCTGCTGCGGGAGACGCCCGACGGTGACTGGCAGGTGCGCGCCGTCGACTGGCAGACCTCCCGCCTGGGCAGTCCGGCGCTCGACCTGCTGTACCTGCTGCTGTTCTCGCTGCCGCGGCGCGAGATGGCCGACCTGGAGGAGGACGTGCTGGCCGCATACGGCCGCCACTTCAACCGCAAGCTGGCTGAGCTGGGCTGCGCGCGCCGCTACTCGGCCGACCAGCTGCGGGCCGACTTCACCGCCGCCAAGCTGGTCGGGCTGGTGTGGTGCCTGTCGGCGGTGCAGTTCTGGGAGCGAGTGCCCGGCTGGGCCGAGCACACCCTCGACCTAGCGCTGGAGGTGGATCGGCTCGGCCTGCTGGACGGCCTGCAGTGAGGCGCGCGGAGGGGCGGCGCAGTCGGAGCAGCGGCAGACCAGCAGGTGGCGAATGAGGCGCAATAGTGGCGCGGCCAGCTGACAAAGCGGCCGGCTCACCGTGTAGAAAGGTGCAGCAACGAAACGACTTCGTTGCCTTGAGCTTAAACGTTAACCCATTTTTACCTGTACATCATTAAATTAAACTTATTATCAGGCATAGAACACCAAAGGCAATGACGTATTTTGCATGTCATGCTTTGAAACCGCTTCGACCGTTTTTAGGATCCTTTGATATTCCTATTGAATCAGGTCCGATAATCCACATAATTACTAAGCATTCCCTCTCAGCGCAGAAGCATCGAAGTCATGTTTGTTTAAATGACGACGGATCCGGAAGCTGTCTCCGCCGCCGCACCATCTCACCCGCTCATGTCAAGGCTCAGTGTGACGGCTTGTTTGTGGTGGTGACCTGGAAGGAACCCTGGAAGGGAGCTGCGCCGCTGCGTTTGACGCGTGTGGGAAGCGCTGTCGTCCTCAGCAGGCCAGAGAAGAGCTTGGCAACATATCATGTGTCCATGTGTCCAGACTCAGGAGGCCCGTCTAACCACGGGAGTGAGTGGGAGTCTGTGCAGGTTTGCTAGAGCTTGTGATGTGCCCATGTTCGTGCCAGTGCGCTTTAGGGAAGCCAGTGCAGCTTTACCTACTGGCCACTGCCGACTGAAGCATCCTCATGTCCCCATACCGTCCATTTGCGTCCTTTGTCACTTTTTTACGTTTTTTAGCTCACATCGATGGGCAAGGTTGTGAGAATCGTCACATGAGTTGTTGAAGTGCGTGCGTGTACAATAAACAACTAAGTACACTGAATTTCTAATCATGTTAGTTGAAGCGGTTCTTCTGGACCTGTTAAGTGGGGCATGTCTTGGTGTCCTTGGACGACGGACACTGTGCATCGCCATCTGCGAAACCAGATGAAGTCTAGTTTTCATGTGCCACGCGAGCGAACATCTCGAGCTGCTCTTGAACGGTGTCCGTCGAGGGGAGTTACCAGGATACAGCGTCTGAGAAGGCCAAGCAATGATGGGGGGGGGGAGCAAACTGACCAAACAAAACGAGCCGTTCAGAGTTGTCGCTGCCGTCGGGAAAACGCACCACGCGATGCTCCAGGGGCATGGCTCCCTGCCCCTCCCCTTCCCCTCCGTTGGCAGCGCTCCCGGGCCGCCACTTGACATTCCCCAGTTCCAATGCATGCACCCCTTGTCATCAGCAGCAGTCCGTACACCCGTGCATCGATACCCGGTCCAAGAGTCGCGACATTGTACATCACAAGCAAATAATGGACTGCATTGTGAAGGGGACCTTCGACGACAAACATCTGACGATTTAAGTCGTGGTCACTCCTAAATGCCTGCATCATAAGTTTACCGTAAATTTCGGCAGCCAGGCGCCATTCAGCAGACACCGCATCCGCAGAAACAGCGCCCATCCCAGCTCACGGAGCACTGAAGCCGACCAAACCTGCATCCAAGTAACACATACATCCTCATAGGATAAAAACAAATTGTGTGAGCATTAGGCTGATGATAATTAGATACCATTTGCAGCTAAAAAGCAGAAGTTTCCCTTTGCCAATTGGCTTGGCTAGGATGGATAGGATGGATAGGATGCGCCACAAGACTGGTGTGATAATAAGCTTTCGAGACCACTAACTAGACATGTACCTGGATCCTAAGGGTAAGTCCAGAATCCAATTGAATACTTGCTTACGGGATCCTGGAATTTTTGGGGGTCCATACGCACGTCTGCTATCGACCTGTTTTTTTATTGTTGCACGAACTGTTTCCTTGGTCCGTTTTTGACGCTATGTAATCGATGTCACTCACATCCCTTAACGTTCCCGTTCTGACTCCGTGTCGACCAAATAAAACAACGTCGAAAAGAAGAATAATGAAACCATACATCATTTCACTACAAACGTCACAAGTTCTGGGGCATAACACATCAGACAGAATGTTGACATGTGAACGATGGACATGACACATAGAGTGATGAGGAAGAGTTTCGGGACACATTCAAGTTGTTCAGTAGACGGAGATCAGTTCTCGCTTCGGGAGTAGTCAAGTCTTGCGCGGCGGTCCGACAAGCGAGCTGCCTGCTCACGGCCTTGGAGTCACGAGCATGAGCTGAGCTCCTCGCGTCGCCACGTCGCGTCGTGTCGCACGCTCTGAAGCTCTTGTGAGCCTGTTACAAGCTTTGGAGTCACGAGCATGAGTTGAGCTCATCGCGTCACCACGTCGCACGCTCTGAAGCTCCTGTGGGCCTGTCAACATTCGCGCTCGGTGCGCCTTCAGGGATCCTGGGACGGCTCTTCTGCGCAGTTCGAGTAATAGGCTGAGGGTTTAACGCCGCAGTGTATTCGACTGAGCCCGCCAGCCTGGGACCTCTCGCACGACGGGGGCGTGTCAATGTCGGCTTTTTGTATGAAGAACACAACCTGAAAGCTATTCATGTCTTTATTTTGGGCAGGTCTACCAGAGCCGTTACCTGAAGCACACCGTGGGGTGGTACCAGGGGCGCAGCTGGAGCCTTGGTCAGGGGGGGGCACATGGTTGGAAAGACCGCTTAGGTTAATTTGGGGATGCGATTTTTGTTCTGTTTCATTACTGCCATTACCTTCTATGACCAAAACTGGAGCCAACAGCTACCGTGAGATTAATTTTGTTGGAACGTTGCAGTCGATTGAAGAAAACTAAAAAAAATCGGGCGGGTAACAGCTGCATGGAATGACTTACCGACTTTTTTCATTTCACAATGATTCCTTTGACTCTTTCCAAGCCCCAAGCCCTTAAAAACTTGAAGTAATTCAGATTGAGGTTCTACAGAGAAATTGAGGGCACCGCGAACTTTTGAACGCGTGTTTGCCTGGAAAGGTCCAACGTTCAGTCAGAGTTTATTCGTGAGAAAAATAATGCAGCAGAGTTCTGAATTTGCCGCTCGCAAGCTTTGGCAACAAAAACCTCGGTATTGCAGTCTCCACAGGCTGCTCAGCGTCGGCCCCTCGGCTAACATTAAGTGGTAGCTAAATGCCGTAGTGGAATGAAAATGCCGTGGTAGAACTGAAAACGTACAGGTAGAAACTCTACCTTTCACGTTGCTGTCATTGCTAACCGAGTTAGAGAAAAAACTCCACATCTTAAAAAGGGCTTTCCCTGTCTTATGTTTGAGCGGCACAGGTTTTTTTTAAAGGCTGTCGTGAGCATTGTTTCGAGACGGTCATTCTCGCGCGCACGCTGCCGGCCGCCTGATGTTCTTCGAAGCGGTCAACGCCGTTCGGTCTTACAGAAACTACAGCCCCGACCATAGGTGTTCCTGCTCAGAGATTGCGGGCGCGCAAGCTCAAAATTATGCATGCAATTTGCTTCACTACTAGAGTGTCCAAAAGGATGACGGTTCTCAAGCAAACATAAGTTAATTTTTTTCATTTTTGAGCTCATTTTGACATACTCTGCTCAACTTTCGGGCAAGGGACCCCTTGGGTAGGACGCTAGGGGCACATATTCGTTCCTGGTCAAGGGCTGAAGGGATACTCCGCCCCAGTGTGGGCTGCCTTCCGGCTGCCATTCTGGTGACATGGGGCGGTGACATGGTAATCGATCCGGAAGCCCTTAGAAGGATACCTCATATCAAATAAGGTCCCCTTCCTGGCGCGGAAGTCCTTCTGACCTGCGCAGTTGGCTCCAGATCGATGCGGGGCCCTCAATGACGTAACAAGCTTGCGGATTGCCGTAAGTGGCCTAAGAATTGGCACATAGAGTTCCAGTTCCAGTTCGGCTGAACGGGCTCAAGGCTGGAATTGAGCTGGAGGGGCCACCGTTCGGCACCGCTGACCCCTGACTGGCACGGGGCCCTTCCATTGTCTCGACCAACGCAGGCGGCATTCGGGGTCCCGTGCCCGTCCCGTTCAGCACATGTCCCCCTGGCTGACTCGAGTCCTCCTGTTGACACAGGGCGCTGTGTTAAGCACTGTGGGCCCATAACCGACAAAGAGGTCATGCAATGTTGCAAGATCTCGGCCAATGCATATCCCGAGCCTGGCCTTGCTCCTGCTTCGGAAATGGGCTCCTAGAGCTCGGACCGACAAGGAAGCTAGCTGTTCGGTGTCAGTGTTCTCAGGCCGAAAGAGAGGAACGCACTGTCCCACGGGTCCTTAATCGATGCGAGAGACCCTCCGATTGACGTCGGAGGTCACGGCCCTACGGGCGGGAGGGGATTTCTTATTGTGACCCACGGCCAGTCCTCCTGGCCCATCGGCCCATTCAGGCTCCCAATCTGGCTCTTGATCTTTGGTCCAGTAGGCCCTTCGGCCCCTCTTCGGGCCTTTTCGAACAAAGCCGGTAACGGACTCTGGACCACTTGCCGACACATGACGCCTTGTTAGGCACCGCGGGCCTCTGACCGACACGGGGTCTCCATCATTGCTTCATGTAACCAGACCAATGCCAATCGTGGGTCCCGGCCTTACACCTGCTTAGGAAGTGGGTCCCCGGACCTCCAAATTCAGACCGACACAGAACCCTTTGTCCGGTATTGATGGTGTTTGGGCGATACGAACGCCGTAATCTTTGAGAGGGTCCTCAATCGGTGGAAGTGACCCTCTGAATGATATTTCCGCCCGGGATCCTTTATGTGGTCTAAAGCCAGCCTTCTGGCCCTTGTGCCCTCCAATCAGACCTTTGATCATTGGTCTCGGCGCCCCCCACTCTCCCTCCACGAGCTGCTCTTCGGACCTCATTGAACACTGTCTCCGGTCGCCTCGGGGGCGCTTGCAAACACAGGGCTCCCCTGTTAGGCACTGCGGGCCCCTGGCAGACGCTGGGCCCCGAACAATGTAAACCACTAGCAACAACTTTGTTCCTGCTTGGAAAATGAGCCTTCAGACCCATGCCGACACAAAGCTGCGACTCAGGGCCTACCGGTCAGCGCAAGTGACCCTCTGGCTAACATTGAAATCCCTGACCCTGCGGGCCGGGTCTCCTGAATACCACCTCCGGCCGAATTTTTAGGCACTTCAGGCTCTCAAATCGGGCCTCAATTGTTGGCTTCAGAAGATTCTTCGGCGCCTCGGAACCTAAGTGGGAGGACGTGCCCTCGTATATACCCAAGCCTGCTTCAAAGGCACCTCATTACCAAGAAAGGCACCACGCCAGCAACGCATTTGGTCCAAACCTCAAATGCTACAGCGATTGAGTCGCTTACAGGAAGAAACTATTTCTGTCGTCTTGGCGCTAATCCCGTTGCCCCCCCCCCCCTCCCCCTCACAGGACCCTGCGGACTATCCCTGTGTGCGGGTCTTGCTCCACCAGGTCCGCATTTCGCACCTCGTTTCGCTTTTACGCGTTTTTCCCTTTATGAAGCTGTAAAATGTTTGCAAGATCCCAATTTGGTAGCCCAAGAGCACTAGCTCCTTTTTTTGCTTGATTCTGAGCGTGGCGCGGTACATACAATTGTGCTCGTATATTGCATTTGATGAACTGAGTGGGGTACCAGCGTTACTGATTCAGCTGAGAGATTGCGGGAGGGTTGCGGGGTTTGGCTACTCGGGGTGCGCTCCCGTCGTGCCGCGGCGATAGCGGAGAGAAAGGCGGTGCCACATAGCCTCAGCAGACATAGTTGCCTTACGTTCGTAAACAGCATTATGTTACTGATCAAATACTGGTGGAATTCCTGATCAAAATAAAGTGATTTTGATCTCTGTTAGGGCATGTGTTTAAATGTGTCAATGGAATATATCCCGAGCACACTAGATGAAAACATTGGGATGTGTTTAAGTCTGCTGGCTCAAACCTTTTGGCATGTGATGCTTTCT